ATAGAGAGAGAACATTACTCATTTAAATGCTGTCTGCAAGATATTTTCAGATTCAAGTAGAGCAATAGAGTGAGAGTAAAAATAGAGAAAAATATACTCCATTGAAACTGTAACACAAAGACAACTGCAGGAATTATACTAATCTCAGACAAATAGGCTCTAAGACATGCGCATCCAACCTTTGGCTTTGCTTGGGCCACAATAAGTGAAGAAGAATTGTCTTGGAACACGTATAAAATCTGCAATATGGTTATTAAAAATAAGCATCCTTTCATTTTTAGTGTTTTTTATTACAACATGTTTTATAAGGGTAAATGGCTCACCAACCACAGGTTGTACATACCTGTTTTAAGGCAAAGAAATAAATACTGAGAAGAAGGCAAGAAAAATAGAGAAAACCTCTCTAACTTCCAGTTGACTGGAACTTGAGATGCAGATCAGGCTACAGATAAACACAATGATGGCGACTGTGTTTTATTGAACTTTAATTTGCATACTTAGCTCAGCTCTCAGTGTACAAGTATTTAATATTTATTTGTAAATAAATTTATATATGAACTATAAGTCATTCCCATAGGATTGATAGTTAAAGCTATAACTTGAAACAGAAGTGTGGAGAGCAGAAAGGGAGATGCAGCAAAAACCAAAGCGTGGAAACTCAAAAAGGTTTCCATTTATAATGGGAGGGAGAAAAGCAAGAGATAGGATTAGGGAAATACAAGAAATTAATAGAAGGCACAAAGGAGTAGAATTTTAAAGCATGCAGAATACACCTCAATTTGGCTAATACACACTATATACAATCTATCTTTAATATGTGCACATTACACACACCTTAGAGTAGTCCTGTTTATCTGTAGAGAGTATTTCTAAGATACCCCATGGATGCCTGAATGATGAAGAGAACCAAACCCTATATACAATGTTTTTTTCTTTACATACATACCTGCTATAAAGTTTAATTTATGTATTAGGCAAAATCCAAGATTAAAGATAAGACTAATAACAAAAGTAGCACCACCTATAATTTGTCCTGAAATAAAATTGCTAGCACCAATGCTCTTGCCCCTTGGAGACATTAATAAGGAAAATAAAGGTGACTTGAACATAAGCACTGTGATGCCTTGACAGGCCACATGATTTATCAAAACACTACCAAGTGTCTACAGGGCAGGTAGCAGATAGAGTGTAGTATGCTGAATAAAGGGATTATTTAAAAAAACAAAGACAAAGCAAGACAAAGTAGGACTTCAACAGAGTACCCGGAATAGATTCAGTTTAGAACTTATAAAATTATTTATAATTTCTGAAAATTTCCATTTAACATTTTGGATTGCAATTGACCACCAGTAACTGAAACCATGGACAGCAAAACTGAGAATAAGGTGATAAATCTGTAACCAAAATCACCAATTACATACATGTTGCCCCTTTCTTGATCTACAGAGAGGCCTAAACTGGAGTCTTTTTCTGGCTACTGAAAGGGAATATTTAATACTCCTGACATCATAAGTAAATAGCATATGTATAACTCTCAATAGCCTGTAAATATTAGATATGTTCAGGAAAATTATTCATAATCAGAAGCATTCCTACCTGCTCAGTGCATCTCTCTTCTAAATAACAGCTCTATTACTTTGTCTTGTGTACTCTCTTAATGCATAGCTCAAATTGCACATAGTGCAATAAAACTTCTGGTAAGCCAACACACAAACAATGCAAAGTGAATTGGAAGTTAGAGGAGGATTTTAGATAGAAATACTTTCTCCCACAAAAACATGAATGTCTTTCTTAAATTAGGGAGATAGAAGAAAGGAAGTGAAGAGATAAAATAGAAATAGAGTAACATTCCATCCGTGTATTTTCTGGGGCTGTAATTTAATGGTACCAAGATATCCTTATTAGTCCTGGCTTCTTTTTGTATTTTCTTTTTTTCTTGCTAGACTTGCTAACTTTAGCACTTTATCCAACTTGTTCAGTAAGACACATATCACTGGGGTGTATGAGCTGTTTCCTACTCCAACTTTTACTAAATAATTCAGTGCTTAGCTTGTGTTTGCCAGGAATGCAAATGTGTTGAAGTCAAAACTGAATTATTCCCAGATGTTGGATGCATATCAGCCATTTTAGATTGTGTATTTTGGTGGCCAACATCCACTCCCTCCTCTTCAGGTAGGAGCACCTCAACTACCATATTTTAACAAATTTACCTTCCTGCTTCTCAGTTTAGGAGAGTCCACATGACTGGCCCCAGAGGTAGCTACATGAGCTAGGCTTGGTCAGCCAAATTTCCTGGCTCTGCAATTTGACACTTGAGCACAACAACTGTCCAAAATAATGGTAGCTTTTTTTCCCTGTACAGTTGGTCACTCTGAAAAATGACTTTCTTAAATCTGTCTGTTGCCTTTCTGTTTTATAACCTTCCTTAGATTTGCATTTTATGCAATTCTTTCTGTTCTGATCACTATTCAGATCACTTCCAATAAATCCAAGTTTGTCTCTCAAATTACCTTGAATGTGTTTCTTACAAAAGCCAAAACAACCTAGCCCATATATTGGCAAGCATCTTACATAGTAGTACGTGGCACTGAAAAACCATCCAGACTGGCAAAACCAAGGTCCACCAAAGGTACCTAGTAAAGCTGTGGAAACAATTTTCAGCAAACATCCCACATTTTATAACATCCCACAAGATTTTTTTCTGCACTAAGGATGCTTTGCAGGAGAGAATTAGATGTACAATATATACCTTTTCAATTTAAGAATGGTGTACCTTTACAATTGTTCTCTTAGTTTCATTCTTATTGTCTGCAGAGGGGCCACATTATGATTTGTTTAAAAATACTTTTGTTTCTTTTTAGGGTAAAATATCACCTTCAGTGAAAAAAAAGCATTATTTTATTTTTAATGCTTTTGGTATTTTTATTCTGTAAATCATACATTATCTGCGTGCTTACCAATAGTTGAAAGTTACCTTACCCAGAACTAGCCAGTAGAAATATATGAGAATCCCACATGTAATTTTACATTTCTTAGTAGCCACAAATTTAAAAAGTAGAAAGAAATAGCTAAAATAAGTTTCAACAATATAATTCAATAATTATATTCAACACATTTTATTTAACCCCATATATCTAATATTTCAACATGTGATCATTGTAAAATTATTGAGATATTTTACATTATTTATATATACAAAGTCTTTGAAAGCCAATGTGTATTTTACAGTTAGAAGACATCTCGCATCAGATGCAAATTTCCACCAGAAGTACATGGTCAATATATAGACTTCATAAGTTTTACAGTTGAAACAGTCAATTTACATACCCAAGTTGTTCAAATACACTCAATTTTTTAATAGAGTACCAGTTTTTAAATTTAAATTAACTAAAATTAAATGCAAGTAGAATGCACTTCCTGTACTGTACTAGCCACACGTCAAGTGCCCATTTCATGTGACTAATGAACTGCCCAGGCATGTGTTTGATCAGGATTAGAAGAAATTATGAAACATCCATGAGTTCTCACTTGGGAGGTTCTGACATTTAAACATGCCACAGTAACTTTTGTTATTGAAGGAGACAAGTATTTCTACTTGAGGTATTAACATGATTTGGATGTGCCCACTAAAAGCTCATGTGTTGGAATCTTAATCCTCAAATTCACATGTTAATGGTATTCGGAGGTGAGACTTCTGGGACGTTAATCGATGAGGTCCCAAGAATGAGTTCCCTGTGACAGGCTGCATGACTTTCTAATAAGAAAAGAGACCCAGACTAGCACCCTTGCTCTGTGTCAGATGCAAAGCCCTCCACCATGCTTTGAGATAGCAAAAAGGCTCCCACCAAAGACACACAGATGCTGGCACTGCACTCTCGGACTTCCCAATCTCCAGAACTGCGAGCCAAATGAACTTCTTTACAAAAGACCCAATCTTGGACATCTTGTTATGGCAACAGAAAACAGATGAAGACAAGTGTGTTGAATCTCTTTAAACTGTAGCTCTATAGTTTTCATCAAATTTGGAAAAATTTTGGCCATTATTTCTTCAATCATGTTTTCTCTCTCCTGTTCCCTTCCCCAAGTACCCTCCAACTAACCCACCAAGCCCTCCTCTACCATTCCAGGATTCCAATTACCTATAAGATAGGTGGCTTAATATGGTCCTGAGCTCTCTTGTTCTGTTCTTTTCCTTTGTTTTTCCTTTTCCCAGTCTTTTTTTCTGGGTTATATTTAGGGTGGTTTCTGTTACAATGTTTTCAAGTTCACACATCTTTTTTGGCAGTGTCAAATCTGCTGTTAATACTATCCATGATAGTCTATATTTATGCTTTCTTCTCCTTTTGTAAAGTCATGTAATATATCTCTTATAGTTATTTTAGCCATCATATAGAGAATATTTATAAAAGCTCTTTTAATATCTTTGTCTTCTATCAGCTGTGTCATTTCTGAGTCTCTTTTTCTGTATGAAGTTTCTCTTGGTTAGCAGTTATACTTCCCTACACTTTGCATGACTAAAATTTCCTGACAAACGGTGGACTTTGGAAATGTTATACCATTTTGTGTCTGAACTTTGTTTGAATTGTTTTGTTATTATTGTTAGTTTTCATATTCCTTTAAGCATTCAGGAGTTTTACTCATTTTTTGATTGCTGCTGTTCTTATTTTTTTCTGGAATACTGTCAATCACTTGGAATGATTTGATCATTTTGAAGCTTACTTTTTAAGGTTTTTTAAGGTGGACCCAGACTAGCCTTCAGCCTACATATAATCTGATGCCACTATGAAGGCAACACCACACTGAGGATACCACCTGTGCCCCTGTATTAGAAATCTTTCCACTTTGCTCAGTGGGAACACAGTGGTTCCTGGTCAAGTAGGAGCTCTGAGGGGCTGGGGATTTATCTCAGCGGCAAAAGCGCCTGCCTGGCAAGCGCAAGGTCGTGAGTTCGGTTCCTGGTACCGGAGAAAAACCAAAAAAAAAAAAAAAAAAAAAAGTAGGAGCTCTGAGAACTGATCTGCCTACAACTTTCCAGCAGTTCTTCTCAGCCTCAGGAGATCCCTCACAAAATACAGAAATCAATTTTCAGCCAAAAACTTGCAGGACCTCTCTCCTCACCTCCAGAGTCTGCTTGTGCACTTTCTGTCTTAATCTGTAGGAAGTGCCATAATGAAACACCAGAGCCTAGAAGCTTATATAAAACAAAAATTGATATCTCATAGTACTCGAGGCACTAGACTCTAGAAGATACTAGAAGCCCATGATGAAGCACTGGCACACATGGAGTCTGATGAGGGCTTGCTCTGGTTTATAAATAGTGCCTTTTCCCTGTGTTCTCACATGTCTAAAGGTTTTAAACAAGTTCTGTTGACTCTATTTTGAGACCACTCACCCCATCGCTGAGGTTCTGTCCTCATGACTCACTCATCTCTGAAAAGGCCACACCTCCTACTACCATTATCTTGGAGATTAGGGTAGGATGACACTGTGTGAATGAGGGTGGGAGGCAAACATTCAGACCACAGTTCAAGACCATAGGCCCTGTCCGGGTCTCCTGGTTTCCCTTCTGTTAGGATTCACTGCCAGCGTTGACCATTTCCCAGTGTTAGAAAACTGTGCTTTTCTATACTCTGCCTGTTTTTCTAGTTGTTTAAGGGCAGAAGGTAAATCTAGTTCTTGTTGTGCTATTGTACCAAAAGATATAAAAACTCAATTGTTGTTCATTTAATAAGTATTGATTGAATGCCTGCTGTGTATGAGAAATGGTGCAGTGTGCCGGGCATGGATTATTGAACTATAAGATACACGATTTCTGCCCTCATGGTTACCACAGTCCAACAGGGAAAAACAATAATTAAGTGATCAAGTAAAGATGTAATATAAATCATGAAAAGTAATAGAAGAGAGAGCAGAGAGCTATGAAAACATGTGACAGGAAGACCTAATTTAGTCTGGGAAAGTAAGAAAAATTTCTCAAAACAAAAGACATTTTAACTATGATTTAAGGAATAAGGAAGACTTGGTTCTTATGTTCTGAAGTGTGGGAAGATTGTCAAACAATTAGGATGGGAACCAGGGGCTGGGGATTTAGCTCAGTGGCACAGCGCCTGCCTGGCAAGTGTAAGGTCATGAGATCGATTCCCAGTACCGGGGGAAAAAAAAAAAAACTAGGATGGGAACCAAACTACTAAGGAACACAGAGTCCAGTTCTTAAATTTCCCAATAAAGAAACAGAAGCTCAGAAAGTTTGTCACACACGCTTGGGGCACACCAGAGACTGAAACCAGGGCTTCTTACCTTCACAGCTAGCATTCTTTCTATTCCATTATATTGCTAAATAAAAAGAGAGAATAGTAAAGCATTTTCTGTAATGGTATTTGCCATTTTATGCTCTATGATATACTATAGGTAATGTATAATTGTATTATTTATTTTGATTTTAAAATAAATATGGCCAAAATATTATTCAAGGTATATGTTTAAATGACAATGTTTTATGTATTTACAAAGTATATGCTGTAAAGTGTGTAAAAAAAACTGCTAAAGAACTCAAAACAGAAAAGAATAAGCACTCCTACATTTAGTATACTGAAGCCATAATAGCATCATAATGGCCTGGAAGTGTTAATGCAGATCCCTAAGTGTCTAAATTACACCCAGGAGATCCTTGCTCAGCAGCCTAAGCTGTTAGTGCTCTCAGACATTTTGGAAAATGCATCTATTGCCCCATTCCAAGCCTAATTGGCATAATAAATGTCAATTAAAGCTCTTTTAAAGTTTTATATTGCAAAACTCAAGTGCAACTATATGTGTATAGACTTATACAAGATCTCAGGGCAAAAAGTCTCCCCTAAAAGAAATACAACATATTTATATTTATCATTGATCTGAATATGCACAGGAAACTTGCAGTTGCATAATAAGGAAATTTTCCCCAGCTTTCCTAAATGTATCCTTAAACAACAACTGTAAACTGTGTTTGTCTGCCATGTCAGGAGAATTACATTCTCTTCCAACAAGCACATAGAAAGTATCAATTGCATGCCCAAACTGAAAATACAGTAGGGACCAAGTAGACATACACTGCTCCCACACCATCTCTGTGGAGGCATCCTCTAAGACACACTGAGAAGCCCTTCTGTCTTTGATTTTATGTCTATGCATGACTCTTCTTAATTTTGAATTATGAAGCTTAAACAACAATATCTCATCAAGTGTAAATACAAAACTAGGTCTTTCTTAACTTCCAAACTTGGCAAAAAATACTTATGTCTTATGTATATACTTCATTAATATGTGTCCAAAAATTCCATTTTAGTTTAACAAGAAGCCCAAGCTGCCAGTTCATTGAAATCAGCTTCTTCTTCTGTCCTTCTGGAAGACACTGAAATGTAAAAGCAATAAAAATTAGTCACTGGAATTATTCACATTTTCAGCATAGAGAAAAGGATGAATTATGTATAAAAATGTGTTATATGAATCAAATATAAAGATGTGCTTAACCAGGTGAGCCTTGCTATTACTTGAGCAAACTATGAAGACTCGTAGTGGGTTTGCATAACAGACCTGCGTGAGACCGATGTGCACTTGGCTTTCTATCTGGCTGTGCTGGGAGAGAAGAGGAAGGCACAGCTGGAAGCCGGATATTTGTCATCTTTTTATTTAATTCCTCTTGCTCCAATTCTTCAAGTTCTGCCATCAGCTCATCCTGAACATAGGAGAAAGGCAGAATTAGAGAATTAACGTTTCAAGAAGTGGGTTTCCTTAAATACAATAACAGGAACATCTGCTACCCAGTTGATATGTGAGAAGCCAGTGAAATGGAATATTTATTTTGAAACTAAGTCTTTTTTGCAACACTGAGCAGTGATTTAAAAATGAATATTTTGGGTTGTGCAAATTTGTTGTAGTTAATCTTATAATACTTCAGCAAACAGCCATTCAAGTAATTTGTGCTAGTTGAATATATAATCTCTTCAGTTTCTGGGGAATTCACACGTTGCCTGTCATTTTTCCAATATGTCCTTTTCTCCTGTTAAGAATCTGTGAAACTTTAATTAAAGAAAATAAATATTTTTATTTGGGCTGATGTTGTTGAAAAAAACAAATATAGCGAGGCCATAGCACACAAAAAATAAAAAAGAATCAAGGGTACTCTGGCTCTTTTGTCAAATCATCAAAGTCATACATTTTGGGTAATAAAACTTCAATTCAATACAGATATAATGTATTTTCTCTTTTAACAATGATTCTGGTGAGTTTAGTTTATTCTAAAATGATTGTTTGCCCCCAAAACGCAGGAAGGTACTACTAGTTTAAGACCTTCAGGATGTAAGTCACCTTATGCCAGGTCTGAGATGACCTACAGTAGTTCATATGGACCTGTCCCTAACTCCTCAGAGGGAGACCAACTGCCTTCAGAAGGAGGCTGGGAATCAAAACTAAATTTGTCATCACAGATTTCTGTGGTTGTCATACTGATAAATGCCATAGTGAGAAATGAATAAACACTTGTCTTCAACCAAGTAAACTATTTATTCATTCACTCATAACAAATTTATTAAGACCTCCATCCTGGGAAGGTTTTGAACTCAGCATTGGGGTGCAGAGTTGAATTAACACTCTCCACATTCAAGGAGCTAATGCTTGAATTTGGGATAAAGGCATATAAACAAATTTATTAAAGGGAGAATTATAACATCATGGAGCAAGACAGAATATATTTAAGTCACCCACTCATTGATCAAGGCAGTGAGTATCAACTTTGCAGCATGCTGATTATCTGACTTCTATCTAATCAACCACATGAAAAGGAAATGAAATATGAAGGTCCATAGTCTCAGTGAAATAGCATATTCAGAATAAGTATGTGTTTTATGGTTTTCCACAGGTTATATAAAAAAAATGAGAATAAATTGTCTGATGTTCTATTTCTGCTCACAAAACAATTAGGAAGAAATATAGAAACCATATTAATGGAAGAATAAGGTATCCTATGTTGAATGTCTGCCCAGAATTATCAATAGTGTTTGATATTATTCAACAGCACCAGGAAGATACTGATGCTTTCTTTACAAATATGACAACAAAGTAGTTATCTCCTCCATCATTTTTGACTTTTAGGTACCAAGCAGTTATTTGATCTTCATAAAGAGTTGTAAAACTTAAGAAATTTTAAAGATTAGTCCAATGATCCAATAGTTTTCACTTTATAGATGAGACAACTAAATGTCAGAAAAGGAAAAGGACTTATGTGAGTTTTTACTAAGTGGTAAAATCCAGATGTCCTCATCAGCCCAGGTCCTTTCCATCACATCATAACATACTCGTTAGATGCTTGGTAGTTTACACCAAGGGCTGGCAAACTTTTTCTATGAATGAAAAGACAGAAAGATTTTAGGTTTCGTAGGTCAGATATCTTCCCCTTCTACATGGTCTTGTTTAGTTTTGTTCTCTACACTGTAAAACAATGAAAATCACTGTCATCTGTCACTATGGAATGATTTGGGTTACAAGCCATATTTTGCTAAACCCCAATCCATTTTTATTATTGTATTTTTTATTTTGATTTTTGTCTTTTGGGAACAGGGTTTCACTATTCAGTTCAGGCTGGCCTTGAATTTTACTTTGTAGCCCAAGCTGGCCTCAAACTCTCAGCCATGCCCCATATGTCACCACACCCAGCCTCCAATCCATTTTTAAAGTTATAGACAATAAATTCTCATTTTCTAGGATTCCATGGGACCATATATTTACTTGTTAGATGTACTATTTTTAACAAAAGCAGGAAGTTGGATTCTTTGCTATACTACTCCATGACTAGGAAATGCTTCTGAATGTGTCCTAGTGCTGCTTGTGAGAGCTTTGAGTAGAACAATTGAAATTCACAGTGTAGACACCATCATTGTAATTACAGAGTGTATTATCAGACTTGATTAATCTAAATGTAATGTGTGTGTTAATAATGCCACTCCACATTTGTTCTGTTTCACAGCCTGAGTCATAAACAGAGGCAGCCTAACCTCTAATTTTATAGAGCCTGGTATGTCTGTTCTTCACAGATGGACACAGTTTGCTTTGTTTGCCCAGATGTGCTAGCATGTGACTCCTTGTAATGGGGTTATTTAGGCACCAATCATTGAGTCACTAACTTTATATAATCACATGCTGTTTTCCCCCTTAATAGCTGAAAACTTAATTAGGAGGCTGTCTGCCAAATTATATTAATCTTTCCTTTAAATCAGAGCTACTAACATTTCATTTCCCTCCTAAGAGAAGTATATTTCCAACAACTACCATTTATTCTTTGAGTAATAAAGGAAACTGACAATTCTATGTTATAGGAAGCTATGTTTCATGGCAGCTACGATACCACATGGTTTAGTGTGTAACCTACCTCATCAAAGCCATCACCAAATCCAACCCGTTGAGAAAATGCTTCTGAGATTTCTTGGGCAATATCCTGTTGTTCTGTGATCTCTTGCATCAAATCATCAATTTTGTTCAGATCCCTGAGAAGTAATATTTTGTTGAAATATTTTAGGATTTTAGCATACAATAATGAATTTAAAAATAAACCCATATGAAAAATGAGTCAATATGAACTCATTTATTTCCATACTATAAAAAAATTCCTAGTAATAATACTCAATCACTTTAAAAATAATGTGCATTAAAAATTTAACAATCCTGTAGATTTACATTTCTTTAAGACAGAGTCTCACCATGCAGTTCAGGCTGGTTTTGAACTCACAATGTGGCCCAGGCTGGCCTTGAACTCATGATGATCCTCCTGCCTCAGTGCCCTGAGTTCTGGGATTACAGGCATTCACCACCACACCCAGCAATCACATATTAAATATTAAGAAAGTAGCCATTATTGTTTAAAGTCACTAGAAATTAAATTATTTTATAACTAATAATATTTACAGAACCATTTTGAAAATTTGGCAGGGCAAATGTAAAACTTAAATACGCTGCTGTGCATTTCCTCCAGGGAAAATAGTACCACAGAACACCAACAACCACCATGACCAAGACAAGTATGCAGCTTCCAGTAGTCACTCTGAAAGCAGGCCTTTGGAGATGTTAAACTCTGGAACTAGAGATATATTTCTATAGTAACTGAGTAAACCCTGACATCCTGACTCCCTGCGGGTTTCCAACAGTGGTGTGATGCCCTGAGAGGTTACTAAAGACAGCAGGTCCCCTAAGCTCTCCGAAGAATCAACAACCACACAGCAAAGAGATCTAAGTAGCCACAGGACAGGCAGCCGCTTCAACGAGTTTCTAGCACTGGAGTCCCTCTGGGTCCTACCCTTCTCTCCCAGCCTGTTGGTGTCTACAGGCCACATTCTGCGCTGTTTCTATTTTCTTTTTTAGTTTATTTTAAAAATAAAAGAAGGAAAACATATTCACAAACAGACATCCATTTACAAAATAGCATAAGAACAATACAAGCAACACTGAATTACAGACAAAGTGGTAGGAAATTAAAAATTGCTGTTGTATTGCGTATTGATATCTTCAAAGTGGTTTCTCAGGAAAACAGAGATACACACGGTTGATCAAATAAGTAATTATTAACTGTTCCTTTCAGTAAAGCGACAGAAGTCAGTAGTACAACTATGTTAGCTATCCTATATATACTTACATACACAATTTCCCCTTCTTTCTTTTCTCTTTTCCTTCAACCCACTTGCTCTTTCAAGCATTTTCCTTTCGTTTCACAATGTCTATCATACCTCCTAATTTTTATTCACTCTTTCAGGTTCTCACACTAGTGAGACAATATGTTGCTTACACATGCAGGTCTGATTTATTTCACTTATGAGTATGGTCTTTAGTTGTGACCATTTACATGTAAAAGCCTTGAGTTTATCTTTCTTTATAGCTGAGTAATATTTCTATATAAAAGTACCACAATTTTTTTATCCATTCCTCAGTGGATGGACATTTGGGCTGTTTCCACCATTTAGTTATTACACATTGTGCTGCTATAAACATGGCTGCACATATATCATTGTGGGGTGATGTTTGTAATTCTTCTGTGAAAATACCCAGAGGAGGAATAGCTGGGTTGAATGGAATCTCTAGACCTAGTTTTCTGAGGAATCTCCAAACTGATTTGCACAGTGGCTTCATCTGTCTGCATTCCCACCAGCAGTGGAGAAGGGTTCCTATTTCTCCACAGCCTCGCCAGCATTTGTTACTGGTTGATTTCTTAATGCTTGCCATTCTTACTGGGGTGAGATGAAATCTCAATGTTGTTTTAATTTGCATTTCTCGAATGACTAATGATGTTGAACATTTTCTCATATATTTATCTGCCATTTGTATTTCTTTATCTGAGAAGTGTGTATTCATCTCTGATGCCCATTTTTGGATTGGGTGTTTGAATTTGGAGGGGTGGCTAATGTTTTTTAATTCTTTATATGTTCTGGGTAGAAGACCTTTGTCTGAAGGACAGTCAGCTAAAACTTTTTCCCAATTTGTGGGTTTTCTTTTTTACTCTGCTGGTGATTTCTTTGGATGTGCAGAAACTTTTCAGTAGGATGAGATCCCAGTTGTTGATTCCTTGAAATATTTCCCCTACAGTTTGGTTTTTGTTCATGAACTCTCTGCCTACCCCTATGTCTTCGAGGTTTTTACCTACTTTCTCTTCCAATACATTTAGTGTTTCTGTTTTAATATCGAGATCTGTGATCCATTTTGACTTGAGCTTGGTGCACAGTGATAGACTTAGGTCTATATTTAGTGTTTGGCAGGTGGTAAGCCAATTTTTCCAGCACCTTTTATTAAAGAGGCTATCGTTCTTCCAGTGAGTTTGTTTGGCCCCTTTATCAAAAGTTAAGTGGCTGAGTGTGTTTGTGGTTGTGCCTGTTTCTTCCAGTCTGTTCCATTGATCCTCTGGTCTGTGTTTAGCCAGTATCAGGTTGATTTTATGACAGTGGCTTTGTAGTATAATTTCAGGTCTGGGATTGTGATTCCACCAGACTTGTGCTTGTTGCCCAGGATTGCTTTTGTTATTCTGGGTCTCTTCTGGTTCCAGATAAATTTAAGGACCATTTTCTCTAGATCTGTGAGGTATGCTAATGGTAGTTGAATGCGAATTGCATGGAATCTGTACAACAGTTTTGGGAGTATGGTCATTTTCACAATGTTGATTCTTCCTATCCATGAGCAAGAAATGTTTTTCCATTTTTTGAAAGCCTCTTCTATCTCTTTTTTCATAGTACTATAGTTCTCAATGAATAGATCTTTTACTTCGTTTGTTTGATTGATTCCTAAATATTTCAATTTCCTGGATGCTATTGTGAAAGGTTTGGTTTCCTTAATTTCTCTTTCAGTCAGTTTGTTGTTTGTGTATAGGAATGCTATTGATTTTTGGGTGTTGACTTTGTACAATCTTACATTGTTATGTCTGATGAACTGAGCAACTTTTTTGAAGGTGACAGTGTGTAATTTAGTAACCATTGTAAATTTTTATCATTTTGTCTTGAAGTCACGTTTCATTTTTGTTGTTTTGATTTTGTCTTCATTGTTGATTTGTCAGTTTTTTTTTAATTTTGTAAAATAAAAAATAAGTTTTGACAACCAGTATTCTAGAGCACAGATGTTGACAATGAAACCTTTAAAGTTATAAAATTAAAGTATGATGAGATGAAGTTTCAGACAATCATGAGGAAACCGAAAAACATTAGAAATTCTATTTTTCATGGGTTTTTTTGTTTTTGTGTTGTCACTGTTGGAGTGTTGGGACTCCAATTTTCACTGTTGGAGTGTTGTCACTCCACTTTTCCCCTGAGAAAGCTTTCCATTTGATAAATCAAAAAGCTCCAGATGTGTGAGCCCATTCCACCACAATTCATCCTAATTTCAAAGGTTTTTCCAGCACTGAGAATATTTATGATTGCAAGGGTTACCAAAGTCACTCACATGTTTTCATGAACGGCTTTCATCGCTTTTGCTGCGAGACCCATGTTCCTTAACACCTCAGTGTTGGTGTGCGAGTTCTCCAGGGCTTCTCTCTGGAACTCAATGGTGGAAAGGGTCCCATCAATCTGAGTGAGCTGCTTCTCAAACCTCTTTTTCCTTTTTAGTGCCTGCAGTGCAGCTGCAAAAGGAAGAAGCCACATTTGTAAGGAAGGAGATTGAGACATTCAAGGGATCCAATGATCAGAGCAACCACAGGCTCAGAACTGCTAACACCGAATACAGAGAGGATACCAAGTAACCCTGAGACACAGGTAACATTGCTACACTAACTACCACTCACTCAAACATTTTTTTATTCTTCTAAAAATCTGACAGGTGTAGGAGGATTAAAAAGTGATTTTGCCCACTCCAAAAAACATGTCACAGAAATGTTTTTGTCAATATTGGATTTTACAAAAAGGATTGATAAAATATGAGTAAAACTCATGCAATAGAAAAATAAGCCTTTAGAGAAAGAAAAGATCTTAATGGGTGTTGATTTTACTCACACTTACTGAAAGGCAAGTTTATTGAAACCCAGAGAAAGGAAGTGAGTGACTTGCTTGCTGGTGGTGGCTGGAACCAGAACCTAGAAATCTGAGCTATATGACTTGAACTAAAATAATTATGAGGAGGTTATTAAGGTCACAGGTAACCATGAATATTCATGAAATCTATGCAGCGGGAGTCTCATTCAGGTTTAAATGGCATACTAGCAAGAAGCAAACCACTGCTTTTAGAAAAACAATGTCTAAGTAAGCCTCCCATGTATCTCTCACCTGCTTCATTCTGAAACTACAAAACTGAGTCCTCCTGACTGTAGCTCCTTGGGGACACACATACAAACATAAAGTTCTAATGTCCATTTCTATACAACATAGGAAAAGTGTAAGAAAAAACCAGCCAGAGAATGTTCATGCACAGACAAGTGATCATTAAATGGACAAAAACACCAAACCCGGAAGATTAAAGCCCACAACACCAAGCCCCCGGCTGCCATGAGCTCTTCTCACTAGCCTACTCGCACTCTGTGGAGTGCGTCTTGTCTTTTCTCTTTCAAAGAAGTCAATCCTGCTGTTACTCTTTGGGGTCCTGCTCAAGACTTTGTTTAGGACATCAAGAACCTTGGCAAGACTCCAAATCTGGAAACATTATCACAAGAGAGATTTCTCAAAGCTCATCTACTTACCTACAAACACCTCAAGTTTATCATTGTTTATAGCAGAGTAGTACTCCATTGTGTACCATGAATACCATTCATTCATCTGTTCATGAACATATAGGCTGACTCCAAGATTTAGCTATTACAAATTGTCCTGCTATAAACATAAGTATATATGGCACTGTAACATGATGACTTTAAGTCTTGGGAAGATGTCTAGAAAGAGAATAGCTTAATCAAGGGAATTTCTATTTTTTGAATAATCTCCACAGTGATCCCCATAGTGTTTGTACTAGTTTACATTTCCACCAAAAATATAGAAGGGTTCCTTTTTCCCACAGCCTCACCAGCATTTTTTTTTTTATTTTTTGATGATAGCTATTCTTTCTGGAGTATGATGGTATCTCAATATTGTGAAATAAATCAATATACAAGCTTAAATATTGCATGGTTTCTCTTACATGGGAAACTTCAAATATAAATAAAATGAAAGATACATAGTAGGAATAGGGAGATTTTTCTCAAATGGGGTGGGGAGCAAGAGATGTAAAGGAGATGAAGGGGAAGGAAAAGGAATGGAAAAAAAATCAAAAGAATGGAAGCACATCTTTTGCAAATAGGAAGGGGTCCAAGAGTTAGAAGGAGCAGAGAATGATGGGAAGGGTAAGGGATGAAAAAAAAAAAAAAGAATTAAATTGTGTTATGTACATGTACCAACTCCACATGATAATGTAATCAATACATACTGCAAACATGTACTAATAAAAAAATAAAATCCAATTCTATTCTTAAAAAAAGAGATCTCTGAGAGAAGTCTTCTACCTCCGTTTTGATCAATTACTTGTAACCCCAGCAGAACACTATTGAGGCAGGAGACTATTTATTCCAGTGCTTTTTGTTGTTGTTGCTGATCTGGGAAGACTCATAGCCATCACATTCTCTTGGTGAATTTTACTTGTAATAGGTACAACAGTTTTTCCTCCCTCTCTGGTTACGTGAGGGTTAGCAATCATCATGAATGACACAGTAGCTATCTAGACCAGCAAGTTCATGAGCAACTGACTACTTCAGAGGAAACACCCAAGAAGGCAACAGAAATTTGGTTAAAATTAGCCTAAATGTTAAATATCACACCAGATGTCATCTTTGTTTTTCACTTCAGGACCCATTTTGGCAGTGGCAAAACAACTGGCTTTAGCATGATTTGTGAATCACAGGATTATACAAAGAAAAATGAACCCACGAGAAGGAAAATACCTCAAGAAAATAGAAAGAGGAACAGAAGAACAGAATGAAGAAAGTTAGGGGAGTTGCAAAAGCCAGTGTTGGTGCTGGCAAAAAGCAGAAGAAACAAAGATTCTGTCACAACTTTACCTGTGGTGATTGTGTCAATTTTTCATGAGATGATTTATAAACTGCAAAAACCTTTTAAAAATCAGCATACAATATTACCCTCTGTATCATTTTACCTTTTCACCTTAAGTTCCATTTTGTTTTATGTTACCTAATGTTTTTACTTTCTTTTGGTTACAATTTGCCAGTGGCAATTTTTAGTTAGACCTTGAAATCAGGATGCCTATTACAAAGACCACATACTTTTATATTTACTTTGTGAAAAAGTTTATAACCTACTTAGATAATCTCAATGTTTTAAGGTAAATTTTAACTCAGTTACATTTAGTAACTGAGAATTAGTAACTGAGAAATTAGTGTACAAATGTCATCTAATATGGTCTTTTTACCATCACCTGTGTGCATTCTGTTTATTATATTTTTTATCCTCTTTGTTTTCAGGTCTTCATGTAGATTGATCAAATATTTGTTCATGTTTTCCCTTTGTTTATCACTTGATATACTTAATTTATTCTCTTCATACACTTGTATTCAGTATATACATAAGTAATACAGCAAGTTTTCCAATCTATTGAAAATTAATCTATTATTTACTCTTTCCAAACAAGATTCCATTTTTCCCAAACCTGGCAATGTTTAAAATAATCTGTAATTTGATTAGTTTGAGATGATTACCAATCTTATTCTATTCTTTCAATTTTTAAGAGACTATTTCTCAGCAATTGAGACCAATTTCTCAGCAATTGGTTCACAGTTACGGTTTCAATATTTACAGCACACTATAGTATTTACTGGCTTATTTTCTTACTATAGGTTCTTGAATTTATATTGTTCTCTTTCTTAGATCACTTTTTAAATTTTACTACAGTGAATCTATTATTTTTTTCAGGAAACTATTTCCAGGACACGGATACAAATTTATAGAAGTGCATAGATATTAACTGTCTGAAAACCCCCGAAAATGTCATTTTGTTCCAAATTTGAGTGATCTTGTAAATTTTTACAGAATTCTAGGTTCAAAATATTTTGAAATTTTTAAAAACATTTCCATTGTCTCAGCATAGTCAACATTTCAAATGTTTGATGAAAATATGCTTATTTCTTTGGAAATAATATGCTTTTCTTTTCTCGGAAAATATTTTAGACTTTAGTTTCTATCCTGGAATTATAAAATTTCATCAGTATATCTCTTAGTTTGTACCTTTTAGTTTTTGTTTTTTTCCAACTAAGCATTCAGTGAATATTTTTATTCTGAAGAAATAAGTCTTTGGAAAATCATAATCTATTATCTATTTCTTCCATTATTTCTGTCTATTCTGAAATTCCTACCCTAGTTTCATTTAATCATCCATTTCATTACCCTTCTTTTTACTCTTCTCTGTTTTGAAATCCCTATGTGATGTATATAGGGATTTGGTCTCTGATCTATTAATTTATGCTTCCATCTTTTCAATCTATGTTCTAGGAGAATTTCTTCCAGATCATTAACTTAGTCTTCAGCCATATCTATTCTACTTTTTCTTACCCTATAATTGAATTTTTAAATAATGTTGTTAATTTATAAGTAATCCTTCTTGTTCTCTAGTTGCTGCTTTTTATGGGCCACTTATTTATGTTCCATAGCTGCAATAGCTTCTTAAATCTCTCTGAAGATATTGATGTGTTTTATTCTTACTACCTTTCATTCTATTTGCTCTTTCTTGAATTCCATCATTTACTTTGCACATTTAATTCTTTTGCATAAATTCCTTTCCTCAAAATGCTTCTGATCTTCCACTATAGGTTCATATTGTACATGAAAGACTAGAATAGAAAATGCAAGTATGGTAGCTATGTGTCTTATCCTTACCTGACAGTGATTCTCCAAGCCTCTGTACTGAAGGGGAAAGCTGCCCAGGGCTCTGAAAGAAGTGGTTGGGAACTCCAGCAGTGAGGCTCCTTTCATGGGAGGGAGGAAATACAAAGCTGGGGATTCATAGATTGCCAAAGAGGCTTTCTCTTGGACAGGGAACATTTTTACCTCTCTTGTGAGAGATGTGGTTTTCTTTCCACCCTCTGCCTACTGTGGAGGCCCAGGGTTATCATCATATGCTCACCTCTATTTCCTTCTTTAGCTGTACCACTACAGTTTAAGTGCTTGCTGAGCAGTATTTAAACTTTAATTGTAAGCAGCTTTTATTTATTTAACCTGCCCTTTAGAAAAGAATCAAATTTTTAAAGTCAAGTTGTTTAAAGATCTTTTTCAAATCACACTCAAGAGAGGCTTATCACATTAATGGCCAAGCTGTGTGAGGGTTTCCTACACCACACAGGCAGAACCTCCAGCTGTACTGTCCTGTACTCTGCCTGTGGATCCATAGCTATTGCTTTATCTATCACAATTATGTGCAAAGACTATTCTACCCCACCTCTCTTAGGTCAAATATAAGCACAGGAAAGACAAAACATCTTATGTCTTTGTTTCCCAGTACCTGAACTACATCCTGCCATATACTCAACAAGATATGTAATAAAAACTGACATTTATTGAGCATTTTTATATGCCAATTTAAGCTTAGTACTTTATATATATTATGTGATTTATGCCACTTAACTCTCACAAAAACCTAAGTAGATACTATTAT